TCACTCTGTCACCCAGACAGGAGTGCAGTGGCTGCTTCCGGCCACCGCAGCCTCGACCTGCTGGGCTCTGGTGATCCTTCCGCCTCAGCCTTCCAAGTGGCGCACACTACCACACCCGGCTAATTTTTTGATTTATTGTAAGTTCCCCGGGCGGGTCTTGAACCCGTGGGCTCAGGTAATCCACTCACCTCGGCCTCCCAAAGCGTGGGATTACAGGCTGAGCCACCGAACCTGGCTTCTCTTCAACTCTTTAGGAGGTCTTTGGAAGAAAGTCTGGGATAGGTACCTGGGTGACTTACATTACCAGAGTGATTCCATACCTGACACATTTCAAAAATGAAATAGTCTGTGTAATATGTAGTCAGTAAGGCTGTCCACAAAATCAATTATTTTCCAACTTTAAAAAATGCTTCATTACTCCACAACAATTTTCCTGCCTCAAAATAAATATTTGCTTAAAAATAAATAGAATCCTGCCAGGCACAGTGGCTCACTGTGAGAGGCAGAGGTGAGAGGACTGCCTGAGCCCAGGGGTTCAAGAACAGCCTGGGAAACTTGGCAAAACCTCATCTCTACAATAAATTTAAAAATTAGCCGGCATGGTGGCACACGCCTATAGTTCCACCTACTTGGAAGGCTGATGTGGAAAGATTGTTTGAGCCCAGCAAGTCGAGGCTGTGGTAGCCATTAGCATGCCACTGTACTCCAGTATGGGCGACAGTGAGACTCTGACTAAACAAACAAACAAACAAACAGAACCCTTACATCAGTAAAGGAAAACAAAATTTATTCATAAACCCTATAATTTAACAATTTGTATATTTATTTTCTCATACTGCCTTTACATCTTTATCCATGAAAAGCAATAACACATACATATAAAAAGACAGGGCCAGGCATGGTGGCTCACACTTGTAATCCCAGTACTTTGGAGACCAAGGCAGGATAATTACTTGAACCCAGAAGTTTGAGACTAGCCTGGGCAACATAGTGAGACCTCATCTCTACAAAAAAAAATTTAACTGGCCTTGGTGGCGCATGACTATACTTCCAGCTACTAGGAAGACTGAGGTAGAAGGATGGACTGAGCCTAGCAGGTGGAGGCTGCAGTGGCTGTGAGCGTGCCACTGCACTCCAGTCTGGGAAATAGAGTGAGACTCCAACTTCAAAAAAAAAAAAAAAGGACAAATATCCACACATTTGATTTCAGCCTCTCTAACTGTATGCTATATAAAAATGTAAATAATTGACTTGCTATTTTCTACTATGAGGCTGGCTCCCTGCTTTTGTAAGACTATTAAAATTACCATTCTTCATATTTTATTTTACATTAACTGTTCAAAGCCCTGACTTTTTAAATGTGTAATTTTTTATCCTAGTCATTGTTTGGTATAATATGCAAGAATTCAATATTTTCAAAACTGTCCCACCAACATTGTCAATAACAGTATCTTGTATAGGAGAACACACAGATGTGCTTGGGTCTTGCTGCAGGTTCAGAAGCTCAGTATTGTGCTACTGTAACAGCACTTCAATGACTGCTGCTTTATCATCTGCATCATATTTGTAGCCTTAGTTTTCCTTACTACTGTACTTCTTCAGAATATTCTTTCTTTTTCCTTTTTCTTTTTTTTTTTTGAGTTCGAGTCTCACTCGGTCGCCCAGACTGGAGTGCAGTGGCCGCTCCCGGCCACCGCAGCCTCGCCTGCTGGGCTCCAGCGATCCTTCCGCCTCAGTCTTCCGAGTAGCCGGAATTACAGGCATGCGCTACCACGCCCGGATGATTTTTTGATTTATTGTAGAGATGAGGTCTCGCTGTCCAGGTGGGTTTCGAACCCGCGGGCTCAGGCAATTCACTCACCTCAGCTTCCCAAAGGCGCGGGATTACAGGCTGAGCCACCGAGCCCGGCTCTTTTTCCTTTTTCTAAGCTTCTTTTTTTAATTTATTTTTTAAAAATTCTCCCAACAGCCAGGCTGGGTGGCTCAGCCTGTAATCCCGCACCCTTTGGGAAGCTGAGGTGAGTGGATTGCCTGAGCCCGCGGGTTTGAGACCCGCCTGGGCAGCGAGAC